TATTTCTTAACCAAGACCAACAGAAAAGTGCAATTTTTGCCATAAAGTGTAGCAATAGCATATTTAGGAATATAGTACATTTCAGAGATTCAGGTAGCCTATAGGTAGGTAGACCTTCTGTAAACTATAACACTTTGTTTTTTAAGTAAAACACAATACTTTCAAGTACATTCAGAACATTGGAAACCCTGACTATTAGAAAACATCTCTCTGTTGCTTCAGAGGCCATAACAGACTTTGTTGATTTACCAACAGTTGATTTAAAAAATCTAATCAATTTCAGTCCAACTCTCTCAATAACCTTGGCCAAAACAATAAACAGTTCAACATAAAGTGCCAGTTGCACCAACAACGTAATAAATAGTTCAACATAAAGTGTACCATTTAAAATAAAATAATATTCTTTCAATATCCTGAATGAAAAATAAAATCTCTCTGTTGCATAGGCCACTGTTTGATCAACGCGAATTGGGTGTGGGTCCTTGTACTCCGAGTCGGGCTAACATCCACGCTAGCTTCTACGCTAGCTGCTATATGTTTTGCATTGAGGTGATACTTGAGGCTTGATGTGCTGCGGTGATATGCGAATTCCTTGTTGCATAATTTGCAAACAACCGTGCTCTTATCGACGCTTCCATCCGTCCGTTTTTTAAAACAAAATGTCCCATCCACGGGGCCAACCAAAGCGGTCTCATCAGCTTCTTCGTTCATGTTTGACTATTGTTCACTTTGGTTTGTTGTTGTCTGAAGTCATGAACGTTAGTTGGTGCTCCAGTATAATTGGTACCCCTGAAACTCATCCAGTGAGAAACGTTCCGCGGTGCAAAAATAAGTGCGATTAAAATGCGTAAATTTTTGTGTAATTAATTCATCTTAATTAACGCGTTAAAGTCCCGGCCCTATTTTAAACATATTCTATATTTCGTCCACATTCAAAAAGCGTTATGGTTACCGACAAAGAAGATCTTGTAAAACCCCTTCCAGGATGAAGATGATCAGAAACTCCATTTTTATTGTAGACTGGGAGAACAGAGATTCTGGCCTGTAACGTTAAAGTTTGCACCGTTATCACCCTTGTGAGGCCTTGCCAATGAGGAAATATTTCATGCAGACGTATCCAAAATAGGGCTGGCTCTAAACTTGCTAACAAGACCTTTTCCATGGTTCATAAAAACGTTACTCTTCCACTGTATTGAGAAACAGTCGTCAGAAAGCGATTCAGGGTGATTTACAGCTACAGTATCCAACACTTTTTTTCCATATTGGAGGATTGTTTTAAAACGCAGTACGTGTATCGGATAATGGAAGAAATCTAAACATTGTACATGTGGACTACACCTAAAATAATAAAAGAAGTGATTAACAAGTCAGAAAAGGGCATAAACATGTGATAAATGTACTGCCCCTTCAACACCCATCCCAGGAAAAGCCTTGTCCGACTGCCATTACTGTGAGCCATCATTAACAGCTAAGTGTTAATTCATAACATGAATTTCCTTCCAAGCCCATGGATCGAAGCCAAGGGAGTAAAAATAATTGACTTAACTTTGAAAAAAGAATTATTAATCATCTTCCTTAAATTGTATTTAAACTTCCCCCAGCCTTAATCTACAATTGAGGGCTCATTAATATAACTGTCCAACCCAACAGTGTGCACACACTGTCCTGCTCCTATGCATGAGCACGCCTCACTAAAATAAAAAAACAGACCTATACATTTGACAGGGTGCATTATAGGCCACGTAATCGCAATTAAGTTTTTGTGCCTGTAAAATGTATTTTTCCTTTTTCCTCAACAGATCATGTGAAAAAGGGTTGTTTAGTCATTTAGAAAGATTTACGGAATTGATACTGGGTTCAGGTTCGAATAAATGCTTTCAAACCCCAGCCCTACTCAAGAGCAGCGATGGTCAGTTGGATAACATTTCAGTACTGGTTTGAAGAGTGGAAGCCATGTTACATGACTAACGTTAGATTGTGTGTGTGTGTGTGTGTGTGTGTGTGTGTGTGTGTGTGTGTTTTGACTGGGCAGGTCCGGGGACTCGACAGCGCGGATCTGGAACCTGAGTGAGAACAGCACAGGCGGGTCCACCCAGCTGGTTCTGAGGCACTGCATACGGGAAGGGGGCCAGGACGTACCCAGCAACAAAGACGTCACCTCACTAGACTGGAATGTGAGTGTGTGTGTGTATGTGCCCCTTTGACCACTACTCCTGCCGAAGGCATTCCTTCCATCCACACACTTGGGGGCGAGTCTCTCCCAGGGGGGAAAATACTTTTTCTACCGCTCAGTTGCAAATTATTTTCAGCACTAATATTTAGTTTAGTCATTAGCTACTGTTGTGTTAAGAGAGTCGTGCAGTGGTGACATGTTTCTGTAGGCTGATCTGGAAGTTAACATCACAAGGGCTCCCTAGACTAAATGGGATTTTCCGATAGGATTTGGGGGAACATTAGAAAAAAATAAGGTCTGTAGCAAACACACGTTTTGGTTGTTTTTGGTCGGGGCCTCTTTTCCCAGGGTTTACGGATTCATTCCTCCACCACTCTATGTGTCTCGTTAAAAAACTGTGGAATATAAAATCACACTCAATCTGCCTGAATCAGAATATTCAAATAAACCTGAGAAAGAATGAATGCCACTGACTTCCATTCTAAAAAGAATTTCTTTCTTTCTTTCAGAGCGAGGGAACGTTGCTAGCAACAGGCTCATACGACGGCTTTGCTAGAATATGGACAAAAGACGGTAAGATCAAAGCTCAGCAGGGACGTTCAGATGATGAAATGTTTCCTTTCTCTTTCTTAGATTAGGATATAACAAGAATTTTCATATATCCAGGTAACCTGGCGAGTACATTGGGTCAGCATAAAGGTCCTATATTTGCACTCAAGTGGAATAAGAAAGGAAACTTCATCCTCAGTGCTGGTGTAGACAAGGTAAGGCAACAAGTTTGATAAATGCTTAAAACAAGTTTTTGAGATCATTGAGGTATTAAATGTTTTAACAGAACAAGTTAATTCACTTTGTTCCTCAGAATGTTAAAGTCTTTAGGGTTAGGATGTTCACTATCATCTTTTCTGGTGTTTATTGAAGTGTAGTAGATGCCATTTTAACCGAAATTCCCAATATTGCGACCAACATAAAATCTAGACTAGACCAGTTAAGCCAATTTATATTCAGATAGATCCCTACCACTGATTCATAAATATTTGCACACACTCTTGTGCTAACTAAGATTTTAAATCACAAATAAACATAACAAATAACAGTTTTGCATTTATTGAAGCTGAACATGTTTCAGTGGGCCTTTTTATACCTAAATCAGCAACAGGTGCCCAGCTGGGATTTTGAAGCACTTTTGGAACCCGTTCTCCCTCTTTTTGGGGATCCGGCTCTCCGAGTCCTCGGCCTGCAATTTCCCAGGGCTCTCAGCTTCCTGCCATCCCTGCTCCTCCTGCTGCTGAGTCTTCTGGAGGCTTTTTGTGGCCCGATGAAGGGCGGACCTGTCGTCCTGCCACTGGATGCGAACGCACTCCAACTTCTGCTCAGCCTTTCTTAGAGCGTCACCAAGCTTGATGTTCGCCTGTCCTTGCTCCGTGAGCAGAGCCACATAGAAGGTCTTTGCTTTTTTCTCCTACAAAGGAAGACGATAGTTTCCAAGCTGATCTTTGGCTTGTTTTAGAAGTGCAGCCATGAGGGTCTTTTTTTTCGACTCTAGCGTCTGCAGCTCGGAAAGATGGGCGACATTTGACACTTCCAGCTGTGAAGCGAGGGACGTTGTCTCCTTGTGTCGTGGAGATTGATGTACTTAAGCTCCTGCTGAGTCCATTCCAGAGCAGACTCGAGCTTTGTTTCTTTCTCAAGTTAAGCAAGAAGAGAAGCAGTTGATTTCTCTGCCTCCTGATGGAGGATATTTTTTTTCTCCATGTCGAAGCGGCAGCGTTCAGTCTGGGAGAGATGTTATGCCTTTTTCAGGGCAATTTGGAGATGCCTATTCTCTGCTCATCCTATTTGGAGATAACTCCCTAGCTCCACCTCCACGTGGTTTTAGACACTGCCAGCAAGCGTCTGTCAGCACAAAGCTCATCTGAAGGGCCTCTTTGTCTTACTTCATGTGCTCCAATGCAACTTGCTGGTCCTTGTTTGTGGAGGTCAGTTGCACAAGATTTTTCTGGGCACCCCGGAGCATCAGGCAGATCTTTTTCAGATGCTCGACCTGACTGATACTTCCAGCAAGCCCTTTTGTCTCAGGGCTGCATTTGGTGACTTCCTGTCTTTCTCTGAAAATATCAAGGAAGTTGGCCAGTGAGTCCTCTTGTATTTCTTGGAGGACTCTGCCTTCAGATTTACCTGGGTGAGCCTCGCTTCACTGTCCTGCAATGTTCACTGGGTACAAAACAACCTTAAAAATATGAAAAGGCATATCAGAATGCAATATGGGAGAAGCTGTATAAAACACAAATGTGTGACATTTAGGTTTTGTTCAAGAAGAAATGCATTAAGCAGTGGTTGTGACAGTTGGCTCTGCTGCTAATATTTCTTTAAAGTTGTAATTCAGGGCTCGACATTATAAATGGCCCGCTGGCCCGGAAGCACTATTTAGACACCCCGGGCCAGCATAACGTACTTTCCACTTGCCCGCTCGGGCCACTAAAAATATTGCTTTAAAAAAATTGTCCTGTGGTATTTTGGTATTTTGACTAGCAGCTGTTTGCTGCGGAGCGCAGCGCGAGCAGGCTCCCGAGAGCGGGAGCGCGAGCAGGCTCCCGTGAGCGGGAGCGCGCTCCTTCACTACAGAATATCGCGCCACCTAACCATTCGCCAAAATGTGTTTAATACCAGTGGTAGCCGGGGCAAAAAACAATCTTCAAATAAAAGAAAGTCACCGAAGGAGTTAAAGGAGAGTGACAGGGAGCCTGAGAAGTAGAGGGAGAGAAAGTTTCAGCCAGCTTGATCGATGGAGTTGGCTTCTAGTGGTGCAGTGACGCGTCCTAAAACCCTTTTATAATCTATCGATTAGATTTATGATTCGAAAATGATAAAAGTAGGGTAGACATGTGGAGATTATCCGGCTGAACAAAACGTGCATTTATCAAACAGGTTTGTCTTTTCCACAGACCTTATTTCCAGCTATTTTCCAAAACCCTGTGGAGAAATCCCATTGCTTTTTGTCGAGGGAACCAGCGGCTTACTTCCTGGCCTCTCAATGTGATGCTAATATAAACAAGGTCTTCTGTCGGCTCTGTACATCAATGCCGACCTATGCTGACAAGTAAGTGAAGAGTAGACAATATAAAGGTATTGGCGAAATGTCCCAGCAGTTTAGGATAATGAAGTTTCTAATCTAATCAATTACATAGCCATTACATGTCTAACTCCTAATGACAGGAAGGCAGAAAGTGCATTATACAAATAATAATACTCATAATAATAGCAGAATTTTTTAACAATGACCACAATATCATTATTTTAATAAATCAAATATGAACAATTTAGGAAAATGTGGAAGAACTGATGATTAAAATGTTGTAGTA